CAATGGATATCGTCTCGGCAATGGTAGCTGCCACTGTTGGAATTATGGTTGCAGGGATCGGACTGGTAATGTACATGTACGACGTGAACTGTCGGCGGTACACCAACGATCATGGAGACGAGAACCCCGAAGAACATGTTCATATGCAGATAGTGGAGGTGGAGCCATAGTTGAGCGCCCTCACCGTTGAATTCCACCCCCACTTCTCCTTGCAGACGTTCCAGTAAGCACATAATTTTGAACGGAGCAAGTGTCATGTAATTTGAATAATATCACCACGGGTTGGACTGGAAAGAGAATACGGCGAACAAACTCCGCACAATAAATACTCGACAGAAAACCTGGATTCAACCATAGCTGTGATGGGGGTGGGTGGGTGTAAGACGAACCAGGGGTGGGATTTAAAGGAATTGTTTTGATTTAAAACGACAGCACATTTATGTATAACATACTAATTGTATTTACAAAGTTTTACTTACATGCACGTGTTTTTAAAATAAAAGTATTTCGATTGAAATTAACCATAGCCGCTATATTTTGAAATTAGCATGAATGTCTAACGCCGGGGGTGGGAGAGAATTTAATCTCACAGAAAGTTGACACCAAAGCTTCTGAACATAGTTTTGAAAAACAATCTCTTAAACTAAAGACAGTATAGTAGTATACTATCTATGTTTAAAGCGCGGAGGTCGTCGCCGCCGCGCAGCGCGTGTTCGAATTTCATGTAAATAAACAATGTATTTTACACACATGAGTCCCATATCGAACAGAACGCGGCACGACGACCACCGCCCTTAAAACGAATTTTAAAACCTCCCATTCTAATCGTGTTTAATCTGTAAACTACCTAGAATCATGCCCTCTATCGTTAGCACGCTTTTGTAATTACTGGTACATTTAGGTGAAACCAGCATAGATATGTTTTTTATCTGTACTCTGTCAATAAATATGTTGAGACGAACGACTGTACATCCAAAGTGTCTTTAGAGTTTATTCCTTAAGTTACCGAGTCTGTAGAAATCGGCACGTTTTTAAGTCGCCGCTTTCTCTGCCATGTCACGGCGACGCCAAATAAATTACTAAACTGGTCGGAATTGTAGCATAATTATTAGACTTGCTTGCAGTCT